AGAACTGAAATTTCACGTAGAATCCAAAAATGTAATAAAAATAGGGGTTGTCATTTAAAATAACGAAGTTACTAGCCACTTCCGGTATTTCCGGAAGTGCGTCCATTTTGAAAATATTTTACATCGATTCTACCTTCGGAGTAACTCCTAAGTACAAATTTTTAAAAACACCCTGTATAGTGTTTCTGAAACACTATAATGGCGCAAAGATTTTTGTTTACGGCGCATTTTAGCGCATGATGAAAGGTACGATGTAGTAGAAAAAACATGTTAAAAAACGTAACTTTTGAAAACGTTAAGTTATCCCCCCCACTTTTTAAAAATTTTTTATGGCTTAACCGTAATGGCGCTAGCTTTAATTTAAGTGGCGCAATTGAGCGCATAACCAGATGTATCAAGTGGCACAAATACCGGTAGCAAAATGCGGGATTTAAGGATAACCAAAAAACAAGAATGGCGCAAAGATATCTTTTTACGGCGCATTTCAGTGCATACCTGAGAGTACAATTTCGTATGAAAAGATGTTAAAAAAAACTTTTAAAAACGTTAAGTTGGCCCTCCCCCGCTTTTTGAAAATTGGTCACGGCTTAACCGTAATGGCGCTAGCTTTAATTCAAGTGGCGCAATTGAGCGCATAACCAAATGTATCAGGTGACCTAGTTACAAGGAACAAAATACGTACGGGGGGGGGGGGCTACGTTCACTTGCCCCCCCCCCCCAAATGTTTTTTCGAATTTCTAAAAAAACGATAATGGCGCAATAGTTATTATCGGTGGCGCATATGAGCGCATAACGAGCGCATTCATTTTAAAATAATACGACTATCAAATCTCTCGGTGGGGGGGCCAAGTTAACGGACACGTATTATTCTTAGCTACACAAAACTGAACGCGCAAATTCTGTCTTTAAAGAACAGCACAATAATACTGTGAAACAAGTTATGACTATTGTTATTAATTCATAGCAAAAATTTAAGCGATACAATGCGACAAAGTTTAATTGAGTTTCCCTCTGCAATAATCCGTTATTAATTTCGCCAACTTCAAGGAACACATACATATTTAGAACTTGTCTCGTTTAAACGTCTTCCATTGTCTTCACAATACGGTTTTGTTTCAGGAAGGAGAGACTTACAGAAGTATTCAGACTGGCGACAGCAGCTGTGGTACAATAACTTCGATGACTTCTCCCGGACAGAAGGAGCAGCGGGAGCCGAAAATAATACCATAAATAACGTCACGGTCCAATTAGGTGCCACCGCATATTTACATTGTCGTGTAAGAGGCCCCGGGGACAGGATGACCGGAACTGACGTATGTAGATCATTTAATACCGCCATTTTTGTTTAGTATTCGAACGGTGTGTTTCTTCCGTAGAAAAGTTGTACGTTTTATACAGTTTTCATTAGCTTTATCTGGCGTAATAACGAAATTAACTCGCAAACAATGCCTAATAAAGGAATCCTCGGCGAATAAAGTTTCGTTTTCCCTTAATTATACGTAGTTTGCGGAAACTGTTGTCCTATATAGGTATATAACGTAAACGTAAACTATGCGTTAAATCGTTAAAACTTACTTAATTGAATTTGTATGGTCCTAACCCTTGTATGTTGCGTTTCATATTCCTTAATAGCGTATTAATTTAGAAATTTGACGCCTTACAAGAAGTTACTTTTGTGCAGAATTTTAGATGGTTTACGGATCTGGGTAAGGATATAAGGTATGCATTAGTTCATAAATTTTTATTCACAGAGCGAGAGTTCTCTTCAGCGTTTCACATTCTATAGTATATAGATATAGTAACTTCACAGATTACTTACAAAAAGTATTGTCGGTATTGATTCTGCTCGTTGCAGCTTAAGATTAAATTTGTGAAAACGGGAGTGGTTAGAGAGATTAGACGTCACGTGTCACTGTTCCCTTAAAATATGTATTTCATTCAACCTTTTCTCGAGTAATGGAGTCACTAACTTCATTTTTTAAAAAAACCGAAACAAAAAGCGTGTTAAAAAGTATCCCACGAGGCGGGGATAGTTTAATTTTTGAGCCATTGTTAGAATTATTTAAAAGTACTTGAGGAAACTGTTTAGGGTTCATTACCTTTTATGTTTCTAGAAAAATACGTCAATGGAAATAAAGTTGCATATGGATTTGATTTAAAAAGAAGTACAAAAAGAGGCGTTGTCTATTTCGTGATCACGTATCCATGCTAACTTTAATTTTTATCTAAAATTTAGCTTTATTTCATAATAAATTACTAGTACACCCTCCTGTCCAAAATACACACACAGCCCTGAATGCTAAACAATTTTAATATGGTATCACTGAAATGAAATGCAAAATCCCAAATGCATCGTTTGGATTTGGTTCTTATCCATAAGTACAATACAAAATCTATTTCATAATAGTATTTCTCATAGGTCGATTTCTTCAGGAATATCAAAATTACTTCAAACAAAATTAGCATGCAAATTTTTGTTATCGCTCGAAAATAAAACGGCCTTACTGCGAACTAAACTCCAGCTTTTATGCACACTTAAAACTGAAGCTTAGAATTTTTAACGCGACCAAATGGTACCTGTCGACTCTTCAAAAGTGTAACCTCATCTGCCAAAAACCCCCTTATTGCGGCCGTACACTAGCCGCATTTTGCAGTTTGACCGACCACACAATTGCCGTCGTTTTCCGGTAAAATGTAGTCCCTATATGAAATACTGTACCGTACGTACACGAACGTTTACGGTAGTCGAAACGCGCATCTGCGTACTCAACTGAGTTGTGACAAGCCGGAATTCATTTCTACCTCTATGATCGCAGTGGACGATACGTTTAACACGGATACATTTATCAGGCCTAACTACAAGTGCGGTTCATATGATGGCAAGTCAAGCACAAAAACGTTGTTGGGTCAACTGCGCGGTGCAGTCGACTTGACCACAATTCTGTGGTTACCTTGCGGCTCGTGTACGACCATCCTTACAATCCGACCTCTCTTCGCTTATCTCGCACCGCAAACTTTTTTAAAGGCGTACATGTTGTTATCACCAGACATACTTTCGTTCTCGTTCGTTATGAAGCGGTACATGTGTACATTTTCCTATACAGAATAAAATCCAAATTTCAAAATCTACTTTTTAATTCTAAATCTACCACCCGTTACACTGTATTATAAACTGCAACTGTTGTTGCTAACCAAGGCCTGGTGCACATGAGCTACTACTAAGTAATCTCGGATTCATTTTCAACCTGAATTTTGTTTGTGCGGGTCCTTTTATTTTAATTTCTTCGTTTTTAATTCTGCTACTGCAGTGCATGATTTGGGTTGGCATTATGCTTGCAGTTAACAAATGTAGTGGACTGTGAAATGCAGGTTAATTATATATCTATTGGTGAAACTCTGCAGGACCTGGAGCATGTTTTTCCGTCTAGAATGAGAGTAGACAATCTTGATGGACTGAAATTAGTGCAAAATATCACCAGATTTGTAGATCTCAGGTCAGAGGAAAATAGTCTCGCCCCTCATGCTCCGTAGCGACGGTTTTTGGAGCCAGCAACACTGTAGCGTGTCAATTTTTATCTGGTTAAACACTCGTCCTTATCTTAAAGCGCCTTATTTCTCGAATATCCAGTAAAACATTTCCTATACGAGTACATTTGTAAACTAAAAATATTTTTATCCTATACAAGGAGAAACTTACATTTTCTCGCCTGTGTGAGGACGCGAAAGAAGACAATTGCACGCATGGAGCGAGAAAATTCAATTTTCTCGGCTAGGCGAGAAAAAAAATACGCCTTATGTAAGCTAGATGGCGCGGTTGTAATAAAATGTCTAAAGTCACTAGATATAGAAAGTACCGCAATCATCCACCATTTTTGGGCAAATTTGCTGTCAACTTAAAAAAATTGACAAATAAAATCTGAATAGCTGTCATTTTTTATAACCTAACTTCATAGTACTGTCATGTTTTATAAAAATATATACAGATATCTCCAAACAGGTGGAACAATCCCTAACATTAAAATTACTAGAATCTGGTAACTTCCGCCATTTTTTGGGCAAAAATCATGCGTTCTCTCTCTAACACACGAGCCCAATGGATTGCGGTACTTTCTATATTTAGTGACTTTAAAAATGTCAAAGAAGTTATTTCTTTTTAATTAAATAAGGAACATAAAATCGTCAACACTGATTTAATAATTAAATTTACCCTATGTTCACTTTATTTTACTGAATTCAAGGATTTATTTAATTACCGCGAACCTATAATACAATGTTTCGTGAATTTGAATACTTTCCCAATATCACGTGACCAATTCAAACGTTTCAAACTTAGTCATAATCTCCCATTTACTTTCAATAACGCGCATCTGTGTCAATACATTTAACACCAAGATGCACTTTGCACTGTAAGTAGAACACCGCTTATCCGTAATAAGTACCTAGCATTTTAACATACGTGATACGAGACTACCCCGAAGTTAAAATGTGTCCAGTGTGACTGTAAGGAATGAATAAATCTATTTATAAAACACGTTTTTTTAAAATACAAGATCATCAAGGATTTAAAGTGTGCCCATTGCGCTTTCGTCGCCAAGCATAAATCCAGTGTTAAAAGCATGTAACATTTGACAAGACATGGATACTGCGAAGGATTTAAAATGTAACCGGTGTGATTTTGTTCCTGAAAACACACATTCAATTTTAAAACACATTTGTTAATACACAAGACCAGTAATAATTTCAAATGCGCCTGGTATTAATTACAACCCCTTAAATCCCGTTATTTTCTAAGGAAATAATCATGCGCCAGTGAAATGCCGGAAATGTCAACTCAGTTCGCACATGATCAGTTTTCTCCACTTGCACATCTGCTCTGTTGCACCGTGACTCCCTTCGGTGACTCAGCACTGTGCAATCGCAAGCGCGCTAGAATTTGAATTTGCGTTGAACTGTATTATAAGGGAAAGGGGTAAATATACGAGTAAAAAATATACTCGTGGGCCCACTTAGATTGCACCGTTTCGTAAAATTTTTTTCGCGTAGTCAGCAGGAAACGTGTAAATAAACAAAACAAACGCGTGCACGTTGACGCGTTAAAGCAAATCCAAATTCAAGCGCTTGCGGTCGGACGTTGTTAAGGGATTAATTTTAAATGTAAGTGTATAGGATAAAAAATATTGTGTGCACCACGGCACGAAAGTTGTTTTCCGGGCCTCAGGAAGTGGCCAGCCTCGGCTGCGCCTCGCCTGGCCATGTCTTCCTTCGCCCCGGAAAACAAACACTTTCCCGCCTTGGTACACAAAGTACTATTAAAGCCTAAAGCGACCACCTATTACAAAATCAGTTTAACAGACGGATGAGAAACCTATTAACAGAAATATGGAAGAAGGCAGTTAAATTTGAGTTTGATGTCAAGGAACAGTGTGCATTCAACCTTGCTTCCAGTTGTGAAATCTCTTCTGTATGGTACCTCTGGTATGAATAACTTTGAGTTTCGTGTATATTTTATTTCGATTTGTTTATTCAAAATACGTAACAATGTATAAAAGAGGTCTTTAATGAGTCGTTTTTGGAGATCTCCCAAAGAAACCGCAGAAACGCCACTCTGATACGAAAATTGGTCAGTCTAGGTCAAATTTTCGAATCTGTCATACGGACGTAAGACGTGAAAAAAAAAGCATTTCTACCACAAAAATTAATTTCTTGGCATTTTCGCCCTCATATTCAGCTATTGCTGAAATTCGCCCTAATTTTAAATATTGGTGGCATTTTCAATCCTAAGGGATAAAACTTCCGGCTCTACGACTCTCATCACTAAAAGGGAACATGTGTACGAAGTGGTACAATTCTAACACGAAATGCCGTTTGTCCTCGCGGGCCGCTCCCACTACCTGTCGTAATCCGTTTTACCGCAATTATGCATAGAATATTATACCCCATAGGTAACATGCTACAAAATTAAATTATTAAGGGTGGGTATCGATACCATCACGATTGTATTAAATAAATGGATTCTAGGGTTATATGAAAATCCTATTTTATTGTAGCACTTTCTTTCCAATTGAAAGCATTTAAAATACCTTCGGGAAACGCAGTAATAAAAACAGGAAACGATTTTCACTAACCGCTAAAAACCTTTCGACCAATAAAACGCCACATTGGGTACAACTATAATAGTCTTTTAATATCGGGGTTATATTAGTGTTCGTATTTGCAACGAATATGCAATTTTCATTTGCACACTGTAAAACGTGCGAAATTGAATTCGGAAATTGCTTCAGTTCATTAAATTGTCCCGTTTTGAATATGCATA